TGAGGATTAAAAAAAACAACTTTTGCCGAAGCCAGTTTGGCTCGGTGGATAGAACGTCGGCCTGCGGACTGGGGGGTCCCAGGTTCGGTTCCGGTCGGGGGCATGTGCCTTGGTTGCGGGCACGTCCCTAGTGGGAGATGTGCAGGAGGCAGCTGGTCGGTGTTTCTCTCTCATCTATGTTTCTAGCTCTCTCTCTCTCCCTTCCTCTCTGTAAAAAATCAATAAAATATATTTTTTTAAAAAACAACTTTTTAGAACTTCTGTTTTCAGGAATTTGATAAATTAAGATGCTAAAGCCATATAGCTATAAAACACCTGAAAAAGTAAAATATATACAAAAAAACTTCCAAATCAGAGAAAGAGCCTTTAAGAAAGTAAATAATAAAAAAATAAAAAAGCAGTCCAGTGAGGTAAACACACTTAAACTATATTACATAGTCTATGTCTTTTTCTCTACTAGAGCTTGGGAAATAGAGGCCAGCCCTCAGGGAAGCTCATGCTCTGAGAAAAGAAAAGGAGCAAAAACACATAAACATCCTGGGGGATCTGGTTAAAATGCAGATTCTGAGTAGGTCTGGGTGGAACCTGAGATCTGCATTTTAACAAGCTCCCACGTGTTGCTCATGCTGCTGGTCAAAGGCCAAGGGACTAGAAGAAAACCTCCAGTTAATGAAGAAAACAGTTAAGGAAGAAAACATGTCCATCTCAATATCGGTGCTGAATGGAGATGCAGAAAAAGAAGCCCCTCTTGATATTTTGAAGCCACTGACTGACCACATCTTTGTTTATTCCTGATTATACACTATCTGCATGGCACAACCCCTCCCCCACCACCTACACACACACACACACACACACACACACACACCCCGCCAAGAGGAGCATCTTACTGTAAAGAGGACCCAAGTTGAAGTGCTCTTAGACATACGGCAAAGCAGAAGCAAATTCTCTGAGGAGAAATACTTTTTCAATCCATTTCTCATGAAAGTCTCACAGAATCCCAGAAATTCTGGAGCCGGAGAACTCAATAAATGAAATGAGGAATGTATGAGAGAGCACTGGAAATAGAGCAGTCCAGATGGAAGAGAGAATTAAAAACCTTAAAGAGAGAAACCTAGCAATGACCCAGGAAGATGAAAAGAGAGAACTAAGAGGTTTGTTTTTTTTTGTTTTTTTAATGAAAGAACTCCATCTCACTACATTAGAGGAAGCAACGTAAGGGTAATAGGTATATCAGAAGGAGAAGAAAAGAAGAAGGGAACAGAGAGCCTACTAAAAGAAATAGTTGATGAGAATTTCCCAAGCCCATGGAAAGAAATGGACTTCAAATAGAGGAATCTAACGGAACACCTAATTATAGCAATGCAAAAAGATGTTTTCCAAGACACATTTTATTCAAACTGTCAAAAATTAATGACAAAGAATTCTCAAAGCAGCCAGCGAAAACAAGACTGTACCATTCAACGGAAACCCCATTAAACTATCATCAGATTGCTCAATAGAAACATTACAAGATAGGAGAGAGTGGAAGGAAATCTTCAAAATATTTTTTTTAAATATACTTTTACTCCTGGTCAGGGCACATGCCTGGGTTTCAGGCTTGATCTCCAATATGGGGGGTGTAGGAGGCAGCCGATCAATGATTATGGGTCTCTCTCATCATTGATGCCCTCCCTCTCCCTTCTCTCTGAAATCAATACCAAATATATATTTTTTAAAAAGCTGTGGTACATTTACATTATGGAATACTATGCAGCAGTCTTTAAAAAGAAAGATTTCTTACCCTTTAAGACAGCATGGAGGGACCTGGAGGGTATTATGTTAAGCAAAATAAGCCAGTCAGAAAAAGACAAGAATCACATGATCTCACTCATATGTGGAATCTAAAGAACAAAATAAACTGAAGAACAAAATAGATCCAGAGACATAGAAGCATGGAACAGACTGTGGAATCTCAGAAGTAAGGCAGGGTGCACGGGTAGGTGGGAAGAGATTAACCAAATAACTTATAGGCACATATGCATAACCCATGGACAAAGACAATAGTGTGGTGAATTCAGGCCTGGAGTGGGAGGCGGGTTCGGGCTAGAAGCGGCCAATGGGGCAAAAAAAGGGGACATTCGTAATCCTTTAACAATAAAGATTTTTTAAGATAATCAATAAAAACCATAAAACATTGAGCAGTATTAATCAAATCCCAACAGGAATTTTATTTATTTATTTTTAAAAAGAATTTTATATGAAAAGCAGATACCCAAGAATAGACACTTCTGAAAATCAAGATGGGAGGACTTACCCTACTAGATATCAAGATTAATTACAAAGGTACGGTTATTAAAGGCAGGTGGCATCAGTACATGAATAGACAGAGTAATGAAACTGAAAAGAGAGCCAAAGAAATAAACCCATGAATAAATAAATATATATATATATATATGTGTGTGTATATATAT